TGGCTTGGCAGGGTTCAAGATGATACGCACTGGTTCAGCACTCAGCATGTGCCCCACTTCATTTGCATGGGTGGACCACAGCTGTGGAGGTACTCGTGCCAACAGTTCCTCTTGCAAGTAGGAAGTGTCAGGTTCAGAGTACTCCTGGGTTAGCAAAGCCACAAGCTCAGTTTCCCTATGTTCTGGTACCTCAAGGTAAACACCATCTGGGCTACAATAAATCACGCATCCCAGTTTACACAACAAATCCTTACCAAGAAGGTTGACAGGTGCACAGGGGCTAAGAAGAAAGGCATGATTTTCAGACAAAGGGCCAATAGAGATGGAGACAGGTTCAGAGACGGGATGTGGGATAGGTTGTCCGCCTATACCGACAGCATTTATAGTTTCAGGAGAATAAGGTAGAAAAGGAAACTCAGCAGCCTTTAGCGTGGAGCGGGATGCTCCGGTGTCGACAAGACAGGAGACAGGTTTACCAGAAATAAGGCATTCAACAAACGGACCAGATTGGTCAGTAGCAAGCAAAGGAGCGATGATGTCACTGTCCCTCAGGCTGTCCTATTCAACACTGGGAAAATTGACAGGAAGTGGAGGTGGGGGCAGGGACTGGGGTCTGGGTCCTTGGCCGGGGCGCTTGGGGCATTCTGATTTCCAATGTCCTTCTTGCTTGCAATAATGACATTGGTTCCCATAGCCTGGGTTTTGTGGGCTCAAGGATCTATCTCTTCCCCTGAATCTACCCGGGCCTCCCCTTCCCCGTCCTCGTCCCCTTCCTCTACCTGGACCCTGCAACTGAGAAATCTGTAAGGCCATTAACTTAAACTCGGCATTGTCTTTAGACCGTTCCAATTTGTTATGAAAATGGTTAGCCGCAGCAAGGACTTCAGTCAAATCTTTAGTTTCCCAGCCAATAATTACTGTTTGAATTTTCTCAGCAATTTTAGGGTTAAGTCCCTGGATGAATGCTGCCACTATTGCTTGTTTAGCATTTCCGACTGGGTTATCCATTCCTGAGTATCGTTCAAATGCCTGTTTGAGGCGTTCCAAATAGTCACTGGGGTGTTCATTTTTGTTTTGTTTACAGGTATTTATTTTGGTCCAGTCTGCCTTTTTTGGGCAAATTGTGAGAACTGCCTGAACCAAAGCATTTCTCTTGTCAATAAAGTCTTGGCCAATCCCTGGGTTTTGATCTGGCCAAGTACAGGCAGCATACAGACGTAGCATAGTTTCCTTGGGCAAAATCGATCGCATGAGCTGATTAATGTCAGCCCATGTTGGATTATAACAATTTATAACAGTCTGCAATTCTTCCTGAAATTTTTCTGGGTCTTCCCTGATTTTGGGGAATTTTTGAGTTAAATTGTAGAGATCACCTGGAGTCCAGGGTGCATGCACGGTTACTATATTTTGTCCATCGGTGCCAATGCCTGGCATTTGTCTTAGGGGGTAAACTTGTGCAGCTCGGGATCTAAGATTGATGGGAGATCTTTCCATGCCTATTCCCATTCTTCTAAATACACCTGTGGTGGGTTGTGACCCAGGAGTAAATTGCCACACTGGTGATGATTGAGTGGCAGATATGGTGGATGAGTCCAGACTATTAAGCTCCGTGGATGGATTTACTGAAGGAGCTTCAGCTAATGAGTTACTAGCCTGGGCTGCAGCCTGATGTTGAACCGGTTGTTGCTGATGTGGGAGTCCCAGGAGAGCAGGGTTCGAACAAAGGTCAAGGATATCCTCTGCTGGCTCCGGTGGTGGGGGCGCCCCGGGCAATGCTGGATACATCGGAGCGGTGGCCGGCGTGTAATTTGGGGGAGCAGCCAATTTCTCCCGAACAGCTTGTAACTGCTGTTTTAATTTTTCTTGAGAGTCTTTTAGGCTCCTAGTTTGAGATTCTGTCCGCCTTTTGGACATTTCATCATACCAATAAAAGAACGCGTCCCACTGGTTTTGTGGTGTTTTGGATCCACGGGACTCTAAAGCCCCTCTTAAGTGCACTATTTTATCCTGATCAAATGTTCCTTCTTGTGGAAAATGCTTCACAGGATCATCCCTAGTATACCAGTTCCACTTATCCAGGTACTTGCAAGCCTCGGGAGAATAGTGTGTGTACATAAAGTACGCCGGAGTCCCCTTAGGGGGGACGGGAACTTGTTTAGACTGACTCGTTCCCATTTTCAGTCACACAGGGAGACGTAGGAGAGGCTTATTTAGGATGTCCGGGCCGCTCAGTGCCTTGCCCCGCAGTTTTTCACTGCCCAGACAAAAGGCTTCTGACCCGACACCGGCTCATAAAATGGAAATGGGAAGGGAAACACAAGAGGAATCCTTTCACTCCTGCTCTCGGCAGAAGCTACTGGGACAAGGGGTTTGGAAAAGACAAAATCACTCAGACGCCCTGTCCACTGGGTCACGAGGTTTCAGCTGGGCCCCCTTGCTTTCGACGCTACCTTTTTTAGGCAGAATCGGGGCGGCTAGACCCAGCCTTAGTCCCAGACCTGGTCAGTGGCTCATTTTTCTAAATGCACACACACACATTTATTCAATCACTGGGAAGCCCTGTCCACTGGGTCACGAGGTTCCAGTTGGGCCCCCTTGCTTTCAAAACTGCCCTGTCAGGCAGAATTGGGGCGGCTGAACCCAACCGTAGTCTCAGACCTGGTCAGTGGCTCATATTTCTAAATACACACACATGCACATTCATTCAGTCAGCCAGACCTCCTCCCCCACACCGCCTTAGTTAATTAACGACAAGCCCGATGTGCTGTAGGATGAAGGTGCTTCATACAGTTTCTCCCTAAATAAAACGTACGTTACCAGACACAAAATGGGATCCTTTACCAGACAGAAAATTTTAGCCGGCAGTAAGGTTCAGACTGACCTGTTTTAACAAGGTTCAGATCCAGTTACCACGGCCAAGTTGGGAGCCTACAGGCAGTCCTCCTCCGAAACCCCAATAGAGATTTTGAATTAGGTCTCTTACCTCTCAAGTTTGGCGCCTCGGGGTTCGGGGGGGGGCAGTCTGCGGTCCTCCTTTCTCAGCCTGTGTTCTGGATCCGAGTCACGGCACCAGGAATTGTCGTGGAAACACACGCAGCATACTTTTGGGTCAGGTCAGCAGAAGCTTTTATTCAAAAGAAACTACAGCTGTAGGGGGGACTCCAAAGTGACATGGATTTCCCAAGCACTTGGAAGGGGTCCCCCCCCCCCAAGAGCAAAATCAGGAGGCTTATATACTTTTTAACAGTTGCTTACAACTCACGTGATCATATAGTGAAATTAGCATGAAAAGCGGCTATAATATTACTTTATTATTTCTTTGCTGTAATCAGGATGGGAACTAATGGGGGAGGCGAGGTTAGTTCACAAACCTCCTTTTTGCACCTGCAAATCAGAGTTGTATATACTTTTTGCTATCTTCAAGGCCGCGGTGAGCGAAGCCGTTGCAGAGGAGTTATAAAGAACAAACACTTTTTCTTATCTGTTCTACTATACAGAGCCAGCAATTCTCCACAAAGCGGTTATGTCATCTTATAATTAAAATAGTCAAAGTTTAAGGCGCATATTTTTTTCTGATTCCACATTATGTAGTACTTAAATGCTTGACATGCTTCTAATATCTCCTTTCTCTCTTGCAGCTTTGACTTCATCTTCTGACCTTCTGGATCTTCTGTTCTTTTACATCGGGTTCAGGCTTGTTCCCTGACCTTCAAAGTTTGACAAAGCTCCACTCTGACCTTGATCTTTTTCCTTATCTCATCTGAACCTGCTTGCAAGAAGTGATGTCACTGTGCTTGGTTTAAGGTAGGCAGCCTCCCGGTCTACAACTTGATCTAATGGTATGCAAGTCTTGAGACAGTTAGTATGGGATGAGGACCATCATAGAACCTGTTTTAATGCCCCGTGGAATGTTTAGCTGCTCTGACAGTGTTTCTCACCAGGGGCATTGCAGTTAGCATGTCTGAAAGTTGTGGGCAGCTAAGCTTTAATATCTTTGTGGATGTTGATTCTTTTGGATTAGTCCAGGATCTCGCAGCTACCATAACAAGCAAGGTGCTAATGGGAGTACACATTGACTCAATGCCCTGGGCCTTGAATGTCACTGAGGGAAGAAACATTAGCTATGGTATCTTTTTTTCATGCCTTTGATCCACTTGTCTCATGAAGACAGAAGACTTGAGAAATCATGCTATTAAGTCATCTGGTCCCATCAGCTAAGACTGGATGGGTTCATAGCAGGCAGATCCTGCCTGATTAACCTGGCTTCTTTTTATGACTGGGTCACAAAATGCTTGGATTAAGAAATAGAGGTAGATGTTATTTACTTAGATTTTAAAAAGGGCTTTAACACTGTGTTGCACCCAATTCTTATAAATAAACTAAGCAGTTGCAATGTAAATTATTACACAGTCCGGTGGGTGGAAAATTGGCTTATGGGATGCACCCAGACAGTTGTGATGGATGAGTTGGTTGCTACCTGGAGAAATGTGGGCAGTGGAGTCCTCCAAGGCTCTGTCCTGGGATCAGTGCTGTTCAATATCCTTATTAGTGACTTGGATGAGGGAGTAGAAAGCACTCTGTCCAAGTCTGCAGACCACACCAAACTATGGGGGGGAGGTAAACAAACTAGAGGGCAGGGAGTGAATTCAGGCAGATTTGGAAGGGGCGGGGAAATGGGCAGAACAGAATAGGATGCAGTTTAACAAGGATAAATGCCATGTGTTGCATCTGGGGAGGAAGAATCATCAACACTCCTACAACCTGGGAGGTAGCATTCTAAATAGCACAACTGCAGGAAGGGATCTCGGAGTCATAGTCAACTCCAAAATGAACATGAGTCACCAATGTGATGAAGTAAATAAGTAAAGCTAACTGCACTCTTTCTTGCATTAGCAGATGTATCATGAACAGGTCTAGGGAGGTGATACTTCTCCTCTGTGCGGCATTGGTCAGGCAGTAGCTGGAGTACTGCATCCAGTTTTGGGCACCGCACTTCAGGAGGGATGTGGATAACTTGGAAAGGGTTCAGAGGAGGGCCACCCATCTGGTTAAAGGCCTACAGAAAAACCCTTTGAGGACCAATTTGAAGGACTTGAATCTCTTCAGCCTCCACAGGAGAAGTCTGAGAGGTGATCTTGTGGCCACCTATAAACTCATCAGGGGAGGAGAGGGGGACAGCAGTAAATGGGGGATATGATGTTACCAGGGCACCATCAGGGTAACTAGAAGCAATGGCCACAAACTGAAGGAGAGCAAATTTAGAATGGACATCAGGAAAAAATTCTTTACAGTGTGGGTTGCCAAAATATGGAATATGCTTCCAAGGGAGGTGGTGCTATCCCCTTCCTTGGAGGTATTTAAGAGGAGATTGGACAAACACCTGGCTGGGGTCATCTGACCCCCAGTACTCTTTCCTGCCCAGGGCAGGGATCTGATTCAATGATCTAATAAGTCCCTTCCGACCCTGACATCTGTGACTTTGAAGGAAAATATATTGTCCTATCAGATTATCTGTATGGTGATCAGTGGGATGCACAGTATTACAGTCTTCTGGCCATGATATTCACATCCTACATTCCCTCTTCCCAGTCCTTGTCCTCATTAATCAGCTTGGGGTGTGTGTGGCCTGCGATACAGTAAGTGGGAGCAAGATGACTTAATCCTTCCCTGGCAACTGAATTCACAGCAGGAGCTTCAGCTGATGGGACCTGGAACCCCTGGATCCTGGGTTAAATGTGAGGAGCTGGAGGAAAGCATTTCAGAGAGAGGGCCTTAGCTCTGGAACTTGCTTCTCTTATCAGTCTAGCAGTGCCTGAGTTTGTCCCCTCAGGAAACAGAGCGAGGTCTATCTTTTTCCTTGTGCTTTTGTCTGCTATAGCTCTAACTGCATGGGCTAAGACGGGAGATTCTGTAGTCCTTTTTGCTGGGAGGGATTTTATTGATGCACTGGGGATGTCTTTGGTATGCACTGATTGATTTTCCCCTAGGGCAATGGATAGTTGCATTGAAATAAGCTGAAAATAATACATGGAGACTGTAACCTCTCTGGGGCATGGACTATTATTTGTTCCGCACATTTTATCTATTATAAAATGCCGTGTCCATCCATGGTGCTGTATAAATAAGCCTCACCGCAGTCTGTGAAGGCTACTTGTGAGCATCCTCAGCTGGAACACAGCCCACACATTATCTCCAAGTTACAAATACACTTTAGAACTCCGTCATAGGATTTTTTTTTTCCACTGGGTCCCATGATCCTTTCTTCCCCAGGCTCTGGGATAGCTGCTTGGTAAGGAATGGTGCCTGACCAGAATATTAAGCTTATCAAATCGACCTGAAAGAAATCTGATTTATAAGTAACCATCTGCCCTCCACACTGTAAACCTCACCTGGGGGAAAAAATGGCCATTTGGGGCCAAGGCATTGGGCTATTTTGCTGACACATTCTACTTACTGAAAAAAATAAACTCTTTGAAATATATGGGCTCAACTGGAATTTCTCTAATACCTGTTTTACTACACAAATGTTTTTCCAAGGGCCTAGCTTTGAGGTAGATGAGGATTTTCAAGTTCTTTCAGCTATCCCCACTAATAATAGTGATAAAACTAATAATGCATAGCCAGTAACACCCAGTCTGGGGCTTCCCCGCTCGTGAGTTAATTCTGCTGTTCTCTTCCTGCAGAATCACCTGGGATTCATGATAAAACAGTGACTTCAGAACAACACTCCTCCCAGAGCCTTGTACTTGAAGCATTGATTTTTGCTTCCTATTACCATAGCAACAAGAGTCCATCTCTTCAGAAACTAGCCAGTGGAAACTACAAAAGGTAACCTTTTGAGAGACTTGAAATCCAGGGACCTTCCCCCAGGGGAAGGAGTCTGGTGGAAAAGAGGCAGTTTCCAAGAGTCAAATGGGGTGCTGTAAGGGAGTGGAGTTCATGTTCTGCAAATACCAGTCTCTGCTGCTGTTTTTCAGGAGCAAAGTTCTTGAGTGCCTTGCTTCAGTCAAGGGAAAAGAAACTGATGGATTTGGGTAACTATCTGCTGAGTAGGCTCCACAAGTTTCTTCCTTCCATATACCCAATGCTTTGAGAGATCTCCACCCCACCATTGCTTTGCATGTTTGTTCTTTGCTGCTATCAAGGCAGAATATGGGAACAGCATTTGCCGTCTGCAAGCTTGTCACCTTTTGTGCATTTCAACAGTGTGCTTAGCAGTCCAGTAGTAGGCTAACACAGAATCAGTTTTCAGGAGTTAAGCCATGAGTGGAGCCATCTTCTGACTCTATTATGTGGAGACAAGTTGCCTTTGGAAGAGGAACCTGTTGAGTCAGTTGCTACTGTTTTATTAAAAAAAAAAAACCCCAACCAACCAAAAAAACCTTTTACTTATGTCGAGTTGAGACTATTAAACAACAGCCAGTTGCTTTCTCCACCTCTCTTTTACATCTTCCACTTGCTACAGATTGGCAGGTTTATACAATTAGCCTGTTTTTCAGCCTTATTAAAGAATTTTATTTTTAGTTTAAAGTAGACCATTTAGGATTGTGATGAGGCATTGCCCACCTCTGTATGTTAACTTGCCATGGTTGTTTGCTCCAGTTAATGTGCATGGGTCGTAAAGGCTTCTTGGAAGGTTGGAGGAGAAAGTCTAAAATCTACCCTTGCATTGTGAGGAGTTTCCTCAGTGGAAAAGTTGTCTGCTCTGTAAGTTGGTACTGACAGGTCTTCTTGCAGAGCCACCCCCACAAAGTTCCAACAGAATCATAACTCCTGCTTGAAGGCTGCAGATTGCTGCCCTGAGGCAATTGGGTGGAGTTTCCCTGAGGTAGATGCCACATCAGAAACTAACTTTATTGAAGGATATTGGTAGCGTTCAGCTTCTTTTGAAATTTCCAAAGCAGGTTGGGATTTCTTGATCTGCTCTTAAATAAGTCATTGCAGCTGCTGTTTACTTGCATTAACCACTGAAAAGCATCTTGATACGTAAGTGAGGTATATTAGGACAAGAATATATTTACCCCAACCTGTCTGTGGAGATGACAGGGCAGGCAGAGGATTATGCTCTGGATATAGCCTCAAGAAGAGATTTTTGGGGTATTAAATATTTGATACACAAAGCTTATTTTAGCTTGATCCAAATTGGTGTTGCAGTGCTCTTAGAATTTAATTGGTTAGAGGAATAGACTTGAGAGCAGGTTGTTTTTTTTGTTTGTTTGTTTTGTTGTTTTTTTTTTTTGTTTTGAGGCAAAGCCATTGTTGTGATAGCAGAGTGGCATTAAAACAGTAGATCAACATGACAGAAGGAGCCGCCAAAGGTGTTTTAAGATTCTGGCCCATCTGAATTTACCAGTTTTACATAAAGGCAGCACAAGCTCAAATCTTTTAAAATATAATGGGCATCCTGCTATGCAGCTCAATGAAACAGCAGTTTGGATTTTTATAACAAAGATCTGTCTCTCATCCATTTTAGAGATAATGCCAGAGTTTCAATATAAATCCAAGTAATAGATGTCTGCTACATAGGCACAATGTAACACTGCAATGCAGTTTAGGTCCTAGTAGTATTCCCCATTCTCTGATTCTCAGTCGGGTATGGTGGATGAGCAACAGGAAGAGAATAGAGCCATCGCCCTGGTTAGTGTCCTGCAGTGTTGCAGAAAAGGCCCCAGTTCACCAGACTAATAGCTCCCGATTCCTGATCTAACAACAGGCAAGGTTCTTTGGGTTGATGGGATATCTTTTATTAGACCAACTGAGTAGTTGGAAAAAAGTTCTTGGCAAGCTTTTGGGCGCAATCACCCTTCTTCAGGCATAGAAAGTCTCTGCTGTTCTGAGACCAAGGAATGAAAGAAGCTAAAAGTGTGACAGTATGTCAGTGAGAATGTAAATGGGTGGAAATTAGGAAAACAAAAGATAGAGCAAGGAAAGGAGGGGGGGGGGAAATAAACCCAAAGTTGAGTAAGAGAGAGTTTATTCTATAGTAGTAATAATTCTAGGTAGAAAAGAGGCTGACTGTGAAAATGTAAGTAGGTGGAAATTAGGAAGACAAAGGGCAGGAAAGAAGGGGAGAGGAGGAAGTGGGGGGGAGGAAGAAAAGTGTAAGAGGTCAGGTCTGGCATGTATCTGGTGAATCAGATGTCAGGCAGGTTGTAATGCGTCATAAATCCAATGTCTATATTGAATCCATGATTTTTGGATCCCGTAGATTTATGAAGTGAAGTTTGTAGGCTTGTCTACGAAAGGTGTTTTGTAAGTTCTGTTTGAGAATTAGAACTGAGAGAACAGAGGGAGTGATTTGTCTTGTGAGAAGTGTGGTCCCACAGGTAGTTGGGTATTTTTGTCCACACCGAAAATCTATCATTCTGGGGCACAGTTGTTGTTTGGTTTCTCCTACATATTTTCCATCAGGGCATTTGGTGCACTGGATGAGAGTATTTCTGGAGGTGCAGGTATAAGATCCAAGAATGGTGATGGTTCTGTTGTGGGGTGTGGTTATTGTGCACCAGAATGAATGCATTATAGGGTGTTAACCTGTGCTACGTACCCTTTAAATATTTTAAATAGTTTAAAGTTCTGCCAATTCAAGTGAGGGTTACCTTTGATTTGTCATTCCTCTAGCATCCCAGGGTGCACTATTCCTAGCCTTCCCACTCCTTTCTTCCATGAGCAAACTTTCAACCCTCCAGAACTCTGCTAGGCATGGGGGTAGTGCTGGCCTCAAACCAATACTCCCTTATGCCCCCAAGGTGTGTGACCCCAGGACACTTTGACCACTCTAAGCACCCGGTACAACTTACCAGTTTGCTGCTTGTGCTAGCACCCCCTGGCCCCAGCTGGATGACTATTGGTGTAAGGGGAACATTTAAAAAGCCAACTAATTCTCTTCAGCAGCACATCAAGTTCTGTGGAAGGTGACTGGTGAGTAGTTAGTCCAGCTCCTCTATAAATTGGTAAGTTTTTCACCTGACCCCAGAAATCATTGTCCTGTTCTTTGCAAGACTGGATGGTATACTCATTAATCTTTCTTCAGCACTGCTTGTTGGACCAAAGGGCACCCTGCTTGGCAAGGTACTTGTACTGATCATAGATTGTGATGATATGATTCTTGTTAAGTACAGTTACAGCTGCTTTTCTATGTCATCCCTATGGTTGTCAATGCCCATATGTCTAATTTTGGCTGACAGGTAGTATGCAGTCAGGAAGACTTACTTTGAGAAATCTGTTAGGATTGGACTGGCCATAGGAAACTGCTGTGTTACTACTGGCCAGATTAGCATGCAGATGAATTCCAGGACGTGTGTAGTGCTCTCTTTACCAGTAAGATGCTACCTGAAAATATGGCTTCCTCTTAAAGTAGGTGAGACAGGTCAACTATGCAGTGGAGGACTGCACTGGGAGGATCTTGGTAATTATTAGGTCCATGATTCCCATTCATTCTGGGGCTGCACCAGCAGAGTCTGAAAGAGTGAAGGGGGCTAGTCTTGCGCAAAGCATATTTAATCCAAATGGGCTGATGGTTGCTTGTGAGCCTCTTCACTAGGCAGTTAATATACCAAATTACCCTAGTGTATCTAAGGGCTCTGTGTCAGTAAGCTTTGCTGCTGATTGTTACTAGGGCTGTGCAAAATGGCACTGTTCCATTTAGCCTTGAGTTTCAGCGGTTTGACAGAACAGTGTTTTGTATCAAATTTCATTTCAAGTCAAAACAGCTGTTCTGTTGCGATCTGTCGAAACAGCCTTTCTGTTTCGAGGTTTCACTGGGGGCGGGAAGTCTGCCCAGCTGGGCTGACTTCCCATCCCCAGCGCTAGATCGCACTGGTGCAGGGGGAAGTCCAGCTGGGCTGCTTTCTCATCTGCAGTGCTAGATCATGCAAGGGTGGGGGGAGTGGGGGGGGTGGGAAAGCAGCCCAACTGGGCTGCCCCCCTGCATGATCTAGTGCCATGGATGGGAAAGCAGCCCAGCTGGGCTGCCTCACCGCCCCCGGCGTGATCTAGTGTTGGGGATGGGGGTATCAACCCAGCTGGGCTGACTCCCCATCCCCTGCCAGATCTTGTGCTGGGGATGGAAAGCCAGCCCATCTGAACTGACTTCCCATCCCCAGCCTATGGTCAAAACGTCTTGACTAGCCTCATTTTGTTTCGAGGCTATTTTGATGGCCTTTGTTTCTTTCCAATTTTGCTGTTTCAACCTTGAAATTTGTTGAAACAGTGTCTAAACAAAATGGCTGATGAAATTTCGCACAGCCCTGATTGTTACTATCTTTGATTCCCAGCTGGAGTCGCAGACTCTAGCTATGGATGGTTCCTTCTGAATTGCTAGCTTTAATTAAAAGGGTACCAGCAAATCTCTGATGCTCTACTTGAACCACAACTTTGGACAGTTTCCCAGTTCTCAAGGAAGCCCCCTTGGTTTTATCCTTCAGCCAATGTGAAGTGATAGCAATGAGAGGGGTGGTTTTTTGTTTGTTTGCCCTTTTCAAAGCTATTTGAAAAAAACATATCTTACTATTTTGGCTTAAAAGTGCAGTGATGGCTGGATATCCTTATTACCCATTTACTTTCTTATGATTTGAAAAAGCAATGAGTTTGTGCTTTGAAAACTGGAGCTGTAAGTTATGTCCTTAAGGTATTACATGATAACGAAAATGTTGACAGGCCAGGCTATGTTTTTAAATGTTACTTTTTGCTTTTGTTTTTTTCCCTTTGGAATCTACCACTGCCAGCAGCACCTTTTAGTATTTCATCCAAGGTCTATAAGCAAATCTCTCTAAATTTATTACATCATTGGGAATAGTAATTTTGAACTCGGCTTTTGCAATACTCCATATTTGTTACTTTCCTCCCACTGAGGGAGAAGCTGGTTTGTTATTAGTTTTTTGCCTGATATAAAACATTTAATTTTAACAGAAACCGCCAAGAGAAAAATACATGTTGCCTTTCATACCCAAAGTGTCAACATCTTGACTGGACCATAGCAAAAATAATCTTAACATTGCATCTATGTTCCTGCTGCCTGTCTTTTCATTCAAGAGATGCCATGCTGGCGATTAAATGTCACTACATGCATATTCTTCTTCAATGGGATCACAAAAGGACTTCTCAACAGGTAAAGAAATAAACCATTGATACAATAGCTGTGACTTCCCACTGACTTTCTACTCAATATGTTTTCTGCCAGCTATTTAAAAACAACAAAAAAAAAAAAAGGGCAAGGCAGGAGCATGTGAAGAGAATAAACCCATATAAATTTCAGTGAGGGCACGATTGCAGAACATGTCAGGAGCAGCAATAAGAGCTGTGAAAACTCTCATCAGGAGAGTCCAAACAATGTGAAACTGGTTTGGCTTGAGTTTCATTGCAAACCAGAAAGGAAAGGTCAGATTTGCTGAGGTTCACGAACCTCTGGGAGAATTGGAGCTTTATTTCT